CGCCAGCCGCGCGGCTGCTTCTTCTTCCTTTCTCTTATTCTTTATGTCTCTCTGGTACTTCTGACCAAAAAAGAAAAAAAAAAAGGTCTAGCAGGTGTCATGGTAGCATGGAGGTTAAGGCAACTGGGTCAGACATGGTCAACCATACAGTTTGAGTCCCAGATCTGACAGCTTGAGACACATGCCTGGCACATGTGCGTGGGTGCCCAAGACCCTTAAGAGGAGAATAGAGGAGAGGTGATTGCAGTGTGACCATATGCTCCCTGGGGGTGATTTCAACTCCCCTGCCCCCTCTCTGTCTCTTTTTCGCTAGTGCACATGCCCTATAGCAAACTTAAAAAAATAAAGGATTTTAAATTTAATTATGTTTGTAGTATCATAAAATATTATAATAAAATGTAATAGGAAAATATTATAAACAATTATTCAATTAGAACATTAAGCATTTTTAATACATCATAAACATTTCACCATTATGAAATATTAGCTCAGCTAATGATCTGCAGAGGTGGCAGAATCTGGGCACACAGGGGTTGGGTGACTGAAGTCTGGGGACCTTAGGACACAGTGGTGCTTTGGGAATGTGAGAAAGGGTTCTAGCAATAGGGGCAAATGGCCTTGGTGAGAGGGACCAGAGGCTGGTTCCTGAGGCCAGGGCTGTGGAAAGAGGGGAGGGGCAGGAGAGCGAGGGAACCTTGGGCCCCTCTGTGGTTGCAGCTGGTGTCTGCCAAAGACGTCAAACCTAGCAAGAGGGTCTGGGTCTCCAGTCTGGAGGAGCTGAGAGGTGCTGAAAGGCTGGAGCCTCCAGCCCAGCCCTGGGCATCCAGTCCCTTCTGGCAACCCACTGAGGATCGACAGGGCCTACATGCTCACAAGGTCCAAAGGGGAGTCTGTCCCCCACCTCTAGAAAGTTGGCCATCCTCAGCATTCTCCATCTTACTCAGAAGGCAAAGACAGCTGCCAGGTAAGGGTTTTTGTTGTTGTTTTTAAAGATTTATTTATTTATCCATTTAATTTGACCAGAGTGAGACATAGAGACAGGAGGGAAAGTGAGAAAGCAAGCCACTAGTCTGGGACTCGGACCGTAGTGGGCCATGTGGGGGTGTCCAACACCTTAACCACCATGCCACCTGCTGGTCCCAACCAGGAAAGGGTTTTAAAGAGGAAGGAACTGATCTTAGAAATCTAGCCCCAAATAAGGGTCTGACTCCAGGCCACAGCCCAGGTCCCCAGCAGCAGGGCCTGAGAAGAGACTTTGTGTCCACTGAACCCGGAAAGGGTGGGGCTCCTATACCAGTGAGAGTGCTGTGGGCCATGTAGGACATTCCGGAAGAGTTCACCTTGGACAAAGAACCGAGGAGGGTCTCATGGATAGGGTGAATACCTGGGGCAGGTGTGGTCTGCAGTATGATGGCATGATGTCCCTCATTCAGCAGGTGTGTGGTCAGCCCAAGGGAGGCTGCAAACCAGGAACCACCTTGAGGAAGAATGTCCCTCCTGAGCCACCTAGCAACAGGTGGCAGCCACGACTAGTTGGCAGCCTGCCCGCCCAGCTGCCCCTTCTTTCTCTAGGTCTGAAGCCCTTATTTCTAGAATCTGAGAGTCATCTTTTTATTTTTTAGATACTTTTATGCTATTTGGTATCTGTGCTCTCCAGAGACAGAGACAGAGAGAGAGACAGAGACAGAGAGAGAGAGAAAGAAAGAGAGAGAGAGAGGTGAGGGAGTGAAAAATCACCCTCCAGGAAGAATAGCCACATCACAATTCCTTTTCCTCCATTTGCCTCTTGGGATTTGGGGCATCCACGTGTATATGACCTGTGCACCTTTCAAGCCACCTGTTCCTGGACTTGAACAGTGATGTTGGCCATGTGGGACTCAGTGCCTTAACCACCATGCCACCTGGCTGGTGGCCCTGTTTTTTCTTTTACTTTTATCTACTCTTAAAAAATGTTGGATGGCTGGGACCAGTAGTTAGTGTAATGGTTATGTCGCTGGACTCCCATGTAGTCGACCGCGGTTCGTGTCCCGGACCCGGTGGCTTAAAACTCAGGCTGGGTGTGTGTGCATGCGTGCCCAAGATCCCGAGAGGAGAATGGAGGAGAAGGGATTGTGGCGTGGCCATCCCCCCTGGGGGCTGATTTCTCACTTTCTGTGTCTCTATCTCTCTCTGTCTTTCTGGCGAGCGCATGCACCCTATAGCAAAACCCTATCAAAAAAAAATGTTGGATGGCTCATATTCTCATAGGAGAGAGAGAGAGAGAGAGAGAGAGAGAGAGAGAAATAAAAAAGCACCTTCCCTGGGTTAGCCATGCTGCAGTCCCTTCTCTGTTTCTCCTTCGGGATTTTGGGCATGCATGCACACTCACGGGTGTGTTTTTCAAGGTTCTGGGTCTGGGATTCCAAGCACACAGTCCACCATGTGGGACCCACCCAGCCATTTACACCACACCACTGGCTGGACTGCCCCTGCAATTTCTCCTAAGAATTCTATAGTTCTTGCTTGTACACCTATTGGGGTCAGTCCTTTAAAAAGTTTGTGGAAAATGTGTATTACGAAGACCTATGCATGATTTCCAGTTTTTTTTTTCCCCATCAAAATATACTTGCATTTTAACTCCATTTCTGCTAATGTTTTGAGGTCCTCTCACAGGTCTTTGAGGCATTTAAATTTAGTTTTTGAAAAAAAAAATCTTTTTTTTTTTTTTGGTTATAGGGTGGGGGTGAGAAGGTGGAGAGGAGAGAGGGAGGGAAACAGAACAACCTGGAGGGTGGTTGGCCACACCACAATCCTTTTCCCTCCATTCTCCTTTCAGGAGTCTAGGCACGCACACACCCATGTTTCCCAGTCACTGGAGGGTGAAGCCGGCCCTGTGCAACCCAACCGCCTCAACCACTGCCACCTGGCTGACCCGAACCTCTGCACTCTCCCCAGCGCACCTGCTCCCGTCTCTGTTACCCCTACTCCCCTCCAGCCTCATGGCGTCCTCTCCACCACATGTCACCCTCTATCTTAAGGGCTCTAGAGATTTTGAGGGTGACATTCATGTCTCCGGGTCCCCACTTTCCCTCCGTTCCTACTGCAGCTGCAGCAGTTCAGGCACCGTCCTGTCCAAGGCCTGCCACTGTCAAGGAGGGGAGAGCAGAAGACGGGAATGGCGGGCCCCTCTGTGGTCACACTTGGTGATGGCCAAAGACGTCAGCTCGCGAGATGGGGCACATCAAAACCAAGAAGAGTCCGGCCACTGTCCCCTAAGTCACTCCACCATTCATCTCCCTGATAGAACCTAGCTGAACACAAGCAGCTGCACAGCAGGCCGCCCACCTCTGTGGCCGCTAAGTGCTGTCACGTGACCAAGCATCAGCCAATGAGAAGAGGGAGTGTAGTGCATTCACGTGGCTAAGTGCGGGCCAATGAGAAGAGCGTGGGAGTGCAGTCGTCGCGTGACCAAGTGCAGGCCAATGGGAAGAGTGGTGCAGTCACGTGACCAAGCGCCAGCCAATAGGGAGCGCGGCGGGAACGCAGCGGCCAGTCTGGGTCAGTCAGAGAGGAGGAGGTTCTCGAGGTCTTATCGGTCCCCGGGGCTGAGGTGGGCCGCCAGCCGCCATTCTGGCTCCGTTTGCTTGGCTGGACTTCATCCCTGAGAGGTGGAGGTCAAGGTTAGTTGCTGTGAGCCGCTGTCTTTCCGTCTGTAGTGGCCGCGACACCCCACCCCGGGCCAGCGAGGCAGAAGGCCCGAGGCCCCGGCTGTGGGAGAGCGCGGCCCTGCCCTGCGCCGCTGTGCGCTGCCCCTGCCCGGGTAGGAGCTCTGGAGGCTCGGCCTCATCCTGGCCACAGACGCCCTGCCAGGGC